AAGTAATTTTAGGTCTTACTGGATGATCTGCACCCACCCTGGATCAGACTTGAAGTGCTTTGTAACAGCACTCTCTACATGGCAATCTCTTAGTAGACCTTAGTTGGTAGTCAGCCTGGTGAGCATCACTGTTCCGCCCCTCTGGGCTGTGCCACTGACAGAGTTTGCATCACTTGCTTGCCCTGTTAGACAAATCCCCATCCCAATTTACATGCCTTCATATGTTGGCCAAAACCCCATATACAATCACACTTAGCTAGCCACGTACATACACATACATATATACACACATGGCCTGTCCATAGGCCCCAGTGGGGCCATGGATCCAGGCAGCACTTTAACAGGGGCGGCATTTTTACTATTTTCAAAAATGCCTGGTGTTATTATTAGTGAGTAACGACTGGTTTCTAAAATAAAATTGCAATTTACAATTCAATGAGCTGGATAAACTGTAACCGATCAGTAAATTCGCATTCAGTCGTTGCTGTCTGTGAGCCGATAAAAAGAAACAACTAGTTTGAAAATCAGTCATTAATTAGTAGCTGCTACTAGTTAGTGCTTGTTTTGAGTTGTGACAGCTTACTGCAGGTATTTAGTAACAAGACTGGAAACAAGCTCCAAGATATTTCACAATGAGAAACTAACAGGCATGAATTTTGTCCTGGTCCTTGAAGTTTTCTTTAATATAAACATATCCAAAACCATGTATGTAACCGGACACAGAACGTTAGCACTTTAGATGTTCTACAATATAAGTAAACTACTTAGTTCTTGTACTTAAAACCCCTCCTGTCTATCCTTATCTCACACTACCATGCACTCTAATCAAACCGATAACTACATCATCCATGTCACTTTTAATGTACTGATAACAGTTTCTGTAATGTTGTGTATTGTGCTCATGAGAGATCTGGCAACACACGACTTTTTACCAACAGTGTTATTTGCTTTCAGTGCTTCAAGTTTGGCTACTTGGGCCGTAAATTTTAAAATCACTTTGAATTCCTGACAAGTCTCACGATAGTAAATAACTCTGCAAAAATATCAGCATGTCACCCTTACATGCATAAATAGTTTTTCTCATCAATAAATCGTTTATACTACTTGATTCCTGCTTCCTTCTGGTTCCTGTGTCCCTAAGAAGTGAGGTGGGTTTCCACAACCCTCCTATCCCTATGGACACACACTGGACACAAGCCACACACACTATCTACCTAGACAAACACACTAACTATCCAACATGAATTAGGTATACAGCAGATTTTCCACAGACACACCTAAGTAACAGCAATGAGCACATCATTGATCTTATCGTAGTTATCTCATGTTTAATATGACTTAAAGATGAGTATGCTAATCAGTCCATAACTTTTTACCTTCATGTGACACTTTCGTGATTCCATGCTTATCTTGCACTGTACTATCTGATGAGAAAACTCCTGTTGATATGACTTTATTTTTATAACTCATCCTTGTCTAACTATTCCATGACATGAAGCAACCATTTGCTGTTTAACTAGCACCATTTGCAACTTCCACAAGGAGAGCAATCTCTGGAATCCAGCAGTCCACTGTAGAGGTTATGGTACTAGGAGTGCCATGGCGCCCTCTCAGGGTAAGGAGTAAAACCGTTTCTGAATTATTTGACATCTAATCTTCTCCTTACCCTTCCCTCTTACCCTTCGCTGCCTCCCCTGTTGCCAGAAAGCTATGCACAATGCTACATCCGGTGGTGCCGGGAATTGCTGATTTGCTGTGTGCAATTGACACTCTCCATCAATGAAAAAACTTCCTGGTCCATAGGAGGCAACAGAAGGTACCGGCAGACCCCAGGTAATATGTCAAACTGTTCACAATTGGTTTGACTATTTATTTTTGTTATTTATTTTATTAAAGAAGCTAAAGTTACATGAAGTGTTACTTTTTTATTAATGATAGTTCCATTTCACTTTACCCCAGTACTAAATTGTATTGTATTGGGTCATGCAGGGGAGGTAAGTAGTAACACATTTGCATTAATCAGCCATGATGGAATGTAGTTAATTTGCATTGAATGCCAGGCTGTGCCAAGAAAATATTGAACTTTATATATATTTAAAAGAAAAAAAAGAAATTAAAGAGAAAGGTTTTAGAGTAAAATAGCTGTTAGATGCTCTTGGAGTGCAACATTATCATGGCTGTGTCCGATTCTTTTTAAAATGTATGTTTGATATCTGGTTACGTCAAACAATCTCTTAAAAGCTTTTTATGAGAATGAACAAGTCAGACACAGCAATAAAAAAGTAATTTATTTATACACAATAACATATAAAGTTTTATTACAGTTTAAACACACAGATATCCAACTCTTCAAACATTCCGAGTTCTTGGAACCGATGGGCATGAAAGTGGGACAAACAGATCACACTGCAAAGTTAGTATAGATCTGGAAAAATATATTAAAGGATCACTATGTCATCCTTGGGGGATCTTCACCCTCAGGGTCCCCCTCCCTAAAACCCCTTCAGCAGCTTACCTTAATCCTGCACCGGGCTCCCTCCGCGCTGGTGACCTCTCCTCCGCTGCCAACGTCAGCTCTCGAGTGGAGCAGAATGCGCATGCGTGGCGAGAGCTGCGCAAGCATTCAAACAGTCCATAGGAAATTTCTCAATGCTTTCCTATGGACGTTCTGCACGCTGGATGCAAATTTCGCATCCAGCGTCACAGAAGCGCCTCTAGCGGCTGTCAGGAAGACAGCCACTAGAGGTTGGATTAACCCTGCTATGTAAACATAGCAGTTTCTCTGAGACTGCTATGTTTATGTGAAGGGTTAAAACCTGAGGGACCCGGCACCCAGACCACTTCATTGAGCTGAAGTGGTCTGGGTGACTATAGTGGTGTCCCTTTAAGGTTTTTATCCGTTTCTAAGTACGTCTTTTGTTATCATTACCCAACTTAATGAAACTCATTTTACTGATCTCACATCGATATCTTAGTTGACCACGCATAGCATTGACTCTGTGAATCTCTTCATCGAAAACTCAGCTATTTGTGGCTAGAATGGAATTCTTCTGAATGATAATTATAGACACTTAGGAGTTGTAATAAAATTCTAAGTAATATAATGCAACCACCGATGAAGATATCTTATGAACTAAGAAGGTTTAAGCGCCTGACAGCTCTTGAACTAATGATTGTGACAGTTGTAACTTGATTACTTTACATTGTCTGGAATAATTTGTACGTAATAATGAGAAAACCAGTGCATATAATGTGCAATGTACATTATAATTTAAAAAGAGCCGTATCTTGTCATGCCTTGTGTGTCTAGTCATTATAAGAGTCCTCGCTGGTCAGTAGGTGCTTTTTAATGAAAATCTGTCCTTTAAAATCAATGCATATAAATATAGCAAAGCATTGGGGTGGAAATGTTTGTATTATCTAAATTAGATATGAGTTGACCTCTGGAACAGGTTTCTCTTTGCACATGTGACTGATATACTTGCCAAAGTATGTACTTGTCTGTCATAGCTGATATATAATTCTACATATTTCAAGGTGGAAATGATAACAGGACTTACCTATAGTGTTGAATTCATTCTTAAAGGGATACCCCGGGTTGGAAATAGCCCTTAAATTTTGCCTCTGAATGTCTCATATATTTTGCATAGATCCGGGATCGGCGGAGAAGAGGAAGAAACGGTGATTTATCAGCCAATACCAATCATCGCAAAAGTTTCAGTGGGAGCGATGTTACATACATCCCAACATGTGTGGGACTGGTCCGAAATTTTAGGTGTATACTAATAACATTTTAGCTGTTGCAGCTGGTTATACACACCAACAATATGGACAGAAGGACATTAGAATATTTAACAGGGACAGAGGGATTTGTGTCCAAAATAGTGACTGTCCTTCCTAGATAGGGACAGTTGGGATGTATAAATGTGTTAAACTGTTCAGAATTATGGTAAATATGGTTCAGCTGTCAGATTTCTGTAAAGATGTATACAGCATAATAAAGTTTTATTATATAAACTTTGAATTATAGCAATTAAAATGAATTTCAAATTTTAGATCAAACTACCCAAAGTATGAACATTAGTGATGTCCCAAACGGTTCGCCGTGGATGGCGAACATAAACATAAACTTTGACGCTGTACCTCACAGTCAGCAGACACATTCTAGCCAATCAGCAGCAGACCCTCCCTCCCAGACCCTCCCACCTCATGGACAGCTCACTAAGAATGCAGCTTCACAATGAATGTAAAATAGATGCTGTCCAGGAGGTGGGAGGGTCTGGGAGGGAGAGTCTGCTGCTGATTGGCTGGAATGTGTCTGCTGACTGTGAGGTACCGGGTCATAGTTTATGTTTATGTTCGCCCGTCCGCGGCGAACCGTTCGGGACATCACTAATGAACATATTTCAGTTCAGCCATTTTTGTCAAACATTTTCAAATCACATATAACACTTTAGTGAATAATTTAATTTCTGATTGAATAGAAAGAAGGGAGAAAAAAAGAGGAGTCTGTTGCAAGAATCATAGCTGGTTACAAGTGTTTAAAATGTGTTTTTACAAATCTATTTCTAGATGCGTATTAGTTATTCATGGATTCTAAATACATTAGGTGACTCAGAGAACAAGAATAAAATAAACAAATTACTGTTTAGTTGCATCATAATTCTTAGTTTTATTTATTGTAAAATGTCGTCAAAGAAATAATTGTAAAATTAATTAGAACAGTTCATATCTATATATTTTTTCTCGTTTTAGGCAATAGGATTCATGCCAGTGTGTTTTTAATGGACACATCTACAGTCAGGACCAGACAGGGAAAATAAGTCCCAGTGGGAATAGTGAGGGGTCAGACAAATGAGAAGCACGCCCCATCTCAAAGTGAACTTGTTGGTTCAATGCACTTCCAGAGCAGACCATGCGCAGAGTACTGTTGAAGAGCATGAGAAAAAGGCCCTGTGTTTGTTCTGCACATTGCAAGTGAATTTAATGACATGCTTGTGCTGCATTTTCTTGTAACTTGTCTCTGGTGTCCCCATAAGTGGGATAACAGGGGACAGAATGGCCAGGAAGAGGATTGTGCAAGTGTTTTGAGGTTGCTCATGGGATTGCGTGTGTAGAGTGAACTGATTGTGGTGTGGTGTGGTGTTTTGTGTTTCGGTTTCACTTGTGCTGTGTTTATGGTGTAATATGTTTGGCTATGGGCTATAGTGTGTAGCTTGGGGCTGTAGAGAGCGTGTTTATATAGGTATTGTAGTTTGTGTGTGTAGAGGGGGCATAGGGTGTGTACAGGGGATGTAGTGTGTGCATAGGGGCTGTAGTGTGTGTGTATAGGTGACGTGTGCGTAGGGGCTATAGAGAGTGTCAATCCAAAGTATTCCGTCCCAAGTAGAGGGATGTGTGTAACAAATAAGTGCCAAAACGTGAATAAAATAAGATAAGAAGCAGCTCTATACACTTGTGTGGAAATATCCTCTTATCTACAAAACAATCATAAACAATATAGGACGGTATAAGTGAAAAGACTAACACCTGTAAGTGGAGCGCTAAAATAAATATAAAACTTGCAAAACTTACCAAACGTTTCTTGGTTGAAAGTTTGGTGTAAAATATATGTAAAAGGAACAAAGGGTACAATATAGTGCAGATGGTACTTAAAAGTGAAATCCAATATATAGTATAGCAGACAGAACACACATTTGGAGGAGCCTGTGTACGGAGCCAGTACCTATACACAGGCTCCTCCAAATGTGAGTGTTCTGTCTGCTATACTATATATTGGATTTCACTTTTAAGTACCATCTGCACTATATTGTACCCTTTGTTCCTTTTACATGTATTTTCACTTTCACTGTCCTATATTGCTATAGAGAGTGTGTCTACGGAATGTAGTGTGTTGCTAAAGGCAAGCTAGTGTGTGTAGAGTTTGTATAGGTGGTGCAGTGTGTGTGTAAGGGATGAAGTGTCTATGGTGAATGTAGTGTGTGCTGGGGTGCAGTGTCTGCAAAGAGTAAAATGTGGATCGGTGGATTGTGTGTGAGGGGTGCAGGGAGGGGGGACAATACAAGCTCTGGTGTTCCTGTGGTATTAAGGGACACTATTTCATTATTTTTATGTATATGTATGTTTTGCACTGTATTTAGCATTTTCTGGATTTCGGCTCTATCCTTTTGGAGTTTGAGCTGTTTCATCTTGATACCACTATGTGTGGTGATATGCTGATATTCCTGCTGATTTCTTGTAAGTATTAATAAATGTATACGTTTTATACAATCTGCTCTATATATTCTCTTTCTGCTTATCTGAGTGTACAAGAAGAAAGATATAGGAAGAGCTCCATCATCATACTACCCTACATAAGGAAGACACATGCCTGATCTTACAGCCTTCTAGTGAGTTTGCTATCAAACCTCCCCCCCTAAATCTTTTATAGAATGTATTCAGGTTGTATATCTATATATTAACAATTTGGTGTGAGTTGGATGTATTTTCATTCCTTTACTATTTTTATTTTCTTTGAGTTTTGTATTTGAAATGTTGGAGGGAACACTTTGTGTAAAGGGGTCCAGTGCGTTCCAGGTTGAGCTTAAAGTGATTTTTAGTTTTGGTTTTTATATTAAGTTCACTCCTCTTGCGAGCTCAGAGGTATGTTGGAGCACTCTAATGGCTGGTGGGGAATTTGGAGAAAACCGGGTTTGAAGTTAATTGGGCACAGTAACTGGGTGCAGCGGGTCAGAGTTCCATAAGATTTTGATGTAAGTTCCGCTATAGTCCTCGCTTTTCTCTGGATCCTATAGGTGGCCCTGAGGAGAGGAGCTCTCAGTGGATCGGGTTTAAGTCTTGGGAGCATGGGCATATGATTACAGTGATCATGCCCCTTTTGGGGAGTGAGGTGCGGGGTTGTCCCTGGTATAGGCATAAGTGACTGGGTGTTCTGTCACACATCCTGTCACCAGTTCTTTGAATGGATGGCTATATGCAGAACCTATAGCAAAGCAAACAAAAAGGAATCAGTGGATTGTCAATTAACTGGATTATTTGTCTAGGCTTTAGGGGAGTAAAAGGCAAATCCCCATTTCTATATGAGCCCCCACCTGCCTGTCAAAGGGCTGTAAAAAACTAGGAATCCACTAGTCACCAAGTGTTCTATGGCTTACATATATTCATAACTAGAAAGCATAGTTGTTATCATTTTGTAGACTGCTCATTTTGCCATTAGTAAGTAGATCCCCTTGCGTTAAAAAAAGAGACATTGTTAGTAGTTACCATTAGTAACCATTGGTGACAAGTAGTGACCATTGATGTGGTTTTGTTCATAGCCATGGGGCTTTTGATCTTCATTTGTCAAATGGATTAGATGAGAATGTTTGTTTTTAGCAGAGGTACATTGTGATAATACCTGGCAACCTGCTCCACCTGTTCACTGATCATGGTGACTGAGCGAGGCAAGGTGAATTCATTTACATCTCAGTAGAACTGCAGACAATGTATATCTATAGCTACCCGTACACACACCCTGGAAACTAAGGGAACACTTTGAAGACTATTCACTAATCACCTGACAGCAGGTGAATGGAGTTTGTTATGAGAATTTGTCTTTTATAACTGACAAATATTCAACATTCACACACAACCAAATTAGAATGTAATGTGGGAATTGTACCTATAACCCTTAACCTTCCTATTATCACCACGTCCTTATGCAGAAAACAGGATGGTATTGATGTAAAGGGTGTAATAATGAAACAATGCTTATTAAAATAAATAAATGTATCAGCAGAGGTCTGTGCATGATCTGTACTCGGTGGGCTGGGAGACTGATATTCATTCACTCATTCTGTGGGTGGCCCCTCCACCATCCTGGATAGGTTTTCCTATTTTAATCACAGGTATGCAACTATTGCCCCCACCCCAAGTTAGAAGGTATGTCTGTATCTTGAAAATATCTTTACAAACTATGTTCCCCTGCGCATATTACTGCCACACATTATAACCAATGCAATCAAAATGCCCTAAATAAAACTATTTATTTAAATATTTTTAGATTAGACCTGTATCCTTCCCCATTCTACTTCTTCTTATTACTCACACCTGTTATTTGATACTTCACAGGAACATAATATTGGCGTCTTATAAAATAAGCACAGCCATTAATCTTATCCACTAGGGCAGAAAATGTTCCCTTTAAAATGAGCACGTTTCTTTTAAGGGTATAAATTATTAACTAATTGGCATTGGTCTTTTTGTTTGGTATAAGTCTACATAGTTTAAACCTTATCTGCATCTACCTTTTGCCAGTGCAGGATCTGAACCCAGGTGTATCAATGTTGGGGGCACTGCTTTAAATTAGTTTTTGTTGCCTTTCAAATGCTGTCAATGCAGGTTACTAATTTTGCATAGTGTTTGCAAAACAAAAATAAATGTTGTGCAATTTTCTGCATGTTAACTCTGCATCATCTGTCCCAGATTCTCCTTCCTAACATAGTCAATCCCATTTGTCTCTTCTGCTTAAAGGACCACTCGTTTTCCTAGAACTATAGTGCCCTGAGGGTGAACCCACCCTCAGGGACCCCCTCCCGCCGGGCTGGATGGTGAGGAAAGGGTTAAAACTTACCTTTTTTTTTCCAGCGCCGGGTGGGGAGCTCTCCTCCTCCTCTCCTCCCCTTCGGCTGAATGCGCATGCGCGGCAAGAGCTGCGCGCGCATTCAGCCAGTCTCATAGGAAAGCATTCACAATGCTGTCCTATCGATGCTGGTGTGCTCTCACTGTGATTTTCACAGTGAGAAGCACGCAAACGCCTCTAGCGGCTGTCAATGAGACAGCCACTAGAGGCTTTAGAGGCTGGATTAACCCTAATATAAACATAGCAGTTTCTCTGAAACTGCTATGTTTATAAAAAAAAATGGGTTAACCCTAGCTGGACCTGGCACCCAGGCCACTTCATTAAGCTGAAGTGGTCTGCGTGCCTAGAGTGGTCCTTTAACCTACAGCATCCAACAACACAGTCAAACGTCATCAGGAAGCACTTTAAAGCTTAGTAGGGCTTGTATATAATTCAGCTATCAACTTTCGCAAGTAGATTGTGATGCGTGGGAATGTCATGAAAAAGAAAGCACTTTGCAAATGACTACCATTTTCATACATTTTTAACTGTCTGTGTTTGCATATTTTTAATGGATTATCTATAAAATACGTTAAACACAATGATTGGGTCAATGTTTGCTTGTAGTGCCTGTTTAAACTTCAAAGAGAACCTTCCAAAATCAATTCGTAACACACAGCATACTCATGACATGGCAAATTAAATAAAGGAATAAAATATATACCAGTTCAATAAAGTACAAGGTTCAACCTTCTGATTCAAAAAGAATTGATCCATTGTTGGGGAACACACAACACACAGTTCAGCGTTATGTTATAATTGTCATAGAAATCATTATGTATTATCTCAAAGTGCAACAATTCAATCCATTTTTTACCACAGTATTTCGAGGAGTACTTGATATATAGATTTTTTTTTACAGTGTTTACTGAGCGCAATGTGAAAAATGGTAGCTTTCCTCCCTTCCTGACATTCTCAGCCTATGCGTTTCTCCCGCCCATAGGCAGCGTGTAGCTCCATAAAAGAACTGCACGCACAGTACACTGGGAGTGCCACCCCCTCCCGTTCTGTGTAGGAGCGCCCGGTGTCAAGTGGCTACCTGGCACTCAGTCTGACACTGCACGACAACGGAGACTGAGAGGCCCCCCTCTCCTGCTAGGTCAAGTGAGAAACTGCAGTGAGGGGGGCCATCTATCAGTAGGGCATTGGAGAGCCGAGAGGGTGAGAGATGTGGGGGAGAGATTTTGAAGGGAGAGAAGGATGTGGGGAGGGGAGAGATGTGGAAGGGAGGGAGAGATGTGGGGGAGAGATATGGAAGGGAGGGAGAGATGTGGGGGAGAGATGTGGAAAGGAGGAGAGATATGGAAGGAAGAGAGACATGGATGGAAGGTGTAAGAGAGACATGGAAGGGAGGGGAACCAGTGGTGTATCCTGGTTTTGTGCTGCCCTAGGCATGCTTGGTTTAAACCATTGTGAAACCGTTCAACTCCTGAAGGTAAATTATTATGGGGTTGGTAGTGTTCCTTTAAACCGCAATATAACTCTGATAATCTTTCTAGTGGTGATGTGTATTTGGATAGGTCCAATAACAGGTAAATAAACATACAAGCTTAAGTGAACTCAAAACTG